ATTATTTTTTTAATGGAGTACTGTGCTGTAACCAAGTTCATTATGAAACTCAAGTACATTATTTTTTTATTAGAATTAAAGAGTAACTCCCACATTAATGGAGTCGATTCTATATTTGACTCTGACTAAAATATAAAATGATATAAATTAGTAAAAATAAAACTAAAACCTACAATTATTAGAAAGCCCTGACTGAATCACAATTAATAAAAGGGGTTGAAGCTTCACTACACACAGTTTCCTTTCTTGGGTGTTGAAAAAATAAGTGATGTATAATTAAAATATTATTTTATGATATATTACCAAGAACAATACTTCAATAAAAAATTAACAAATCGTTGATAAGATTATGTTTATTTGTAAAAGTAAAAAAATTATACACCATTCAAAAAGCTGAACTCCCTAGTCACTTGAAGGAAACGTGGTGCACTTGTTTCTGCATTGCCATTATATACACTTTTTTTTCTCTCACTTTTTTCCCCTTTCATATCTGCATTTCATATAAATTAAGACAAGTTATACAGTATTAATGCACTTCTAAGCTGTTGTCAAAAAAACATTTCTCAACTTGACACGTTCTCTTTAAATACAATAAATGAAGTTTAAGAAAACTTTATATCTTGTGTGTCTGAACAGCAACAAATATAATTCAATAAACATTTTAAATATCCAAGTGGCTTATTTACACTAATCCATCTAGCTTCTACACTAATAATTTCAATGGTTTAAAAGGCTTAGTACTGTTGTAAAAATTTGAACTCTGCAGGTTCTTTATTATTCACAGAAAATATGATGTTTGTCAGATAGTTATTTGACAATGTTAATGCAACTATTAAATGCTTTCCTGAATATATAAACTCAGAAACTATGAGCACCTATACGACTTCTACAAGATTGTCTATTTTTTCTTTCTTTTATTACTATACTAGAAGTTACACTTTGATTAAAATTATATATAAATATTAGTATATCTGGGTCCTTTGAATGAAATTCTGGTACAGTTTGAAAGCATGACCAGGTGGTGCTAGATCAAGAGGTTCTAGCTTCGGTAGGATAGGCTCAATAGGCACACATATTTCTTTCACCAAATCTTTTGGAATTATGGCTTCAAATTCGGGCTCTGGATCCTACACAAACATTTGTAAAAATAAGTTATTTTTCCTTGCCAAACTGAATTTTCTTAGAACAGGTTAATGATTCATCTAGATTACAAGTTATGTAACTTAATGTAGCCTGCAAAACAAAACTGACTTCAGTAATAAAAACAAGACATTTGTACATAAAACACAATAGTTCTCAAGATCACATTACACTCATGGGAATGTTAGACACTCATTACTTTTTTCTTATAGCTTTATAACTGGATAAAATACTTCGTTCATATAGAAGATCTTATGGTGGAAATAAACAAAACATATGAAGAGATTTCTGCATAACATGAAAATATGTTTTTTTAACTTCTCATTACTTACTTGCTGTGGTTTGTTGGTGCATATTGACAAAAAATCATGATATCTAATCAAAAACACCTTAGGTGTGAAAAAAGGTGTGGCCTAAGAGGATTGAGTGTGTGACTTAAATGAATGAAATTAAAATTACTGGCCAAACTGGTAGCTACACTTATAGCACTGATAAGAATTTTACAGCAAATATTCATTCATTAGTTAGCTAGGCTGTGTATTTTGTTTTATCCATCATCATAAACAAAAGACTGGTCATCTGGATATATATTTATTTACAACTGTAATCATCATACATTGTAAACAAAAACATTACTACTATTATCATGATAGTAAAATATATTCATTATTTGATTCACACGAGATAAACATGACAACCACAGCGTGTTCGATAGACAAAAAGGGGAACTGAGCAGTTGTCTCTTGACATTAAGAATTTGCCAAGTAGGAAATGTTCAGGTTATTTTTAAACACTAAAAATGTCTACAATATTAAATTTCACAAATTTCTCTAAAAGAAAACAAGAATTGGCTGAAAATAGGAAGATTAATCATGTGACAATAATCGATTAATTGAATGCAATGAATTAACAAAGTCCATTAATTATCCAAGTACTATTCAAGTTAACAAGATCTACACTGACCTGTGCACACTCAGGTGTTCACAAACAACAAAAAACTATCACACATTAGTGATTACCACCAATGGATAACTAACCCGATACAACTGATAATGGTAAAGCTGCATAAAACAATTATCAATATTAAGAGTAAAAAACATTGGTTTGTGTTTTTTTACTCTTAACGCAGTAGCACAATGTGCCTGAAAATAATTTACAATTATCTAGTTCATGAACTATAAGAATGCATCATTTATTTCAATATACTCAACAAAACATTACTGTTTTTATATTGTTAAAAGTTTGTTTACTTAAATATATTAAATTGTGTTTTTAAAGTGAATAAAGTGATTCATTTGCAGAAGTTTTTTAAAGGGTGGGGTGACTATATTCTTTAAATTATTTTTAAGTTTCTTCTTCCTCCAAAAATACAAAGGGAACTTGTTCTTTTGTGATATATCATTGTCTGCTCGCATAGGGAAAAGTTATTAGAATAATGCTTGAATCTGATAGAGTGGAAATTTCCCAATGCTGTTCTTTGCTTTGCCACTTGGTCAGGTCTACAAGTTGTCCATGTCAAGTTGGTTGCTATTGTCACCTAGTTTTTTGCAGCAGTAGCTGTTTAGCTCATGTCAGGCATTATAATCTCCAGTATTACCCACGCTGTATGAAACAGCTTAGACAAGACGACCACTTAGATAGTGGGGAGTGCTGGTATCCCATGGTAACACGTATTATAACTTTATTATTACAGGGTTCCTGCACTTATGCAGAAATGAAATTTCATGACTTTTCCATGATCATTTTAAGAAATTCAAGGACCATTGGGTTACACAAAAACTGCACCTAGGCATATGTTTTGAAATGTAAATGTTACACAAATATTGGTAAATAATATTTTATATGATGAAAAGGCAGCAATATTTTTATTACTTAGCTAACAGCATTAAAATGTAATTGAATTATTTGAAAATAAAAAATTCAAAGTTAAATTGTTTCAGCATTTCTTGTTTGACAGTTTCTGTTCAATTTTCTTGTGATAGTCTTCAATAATTCTTCCTTCTCTCTTACAGCTTTCCTCGGGGGAACTGACCACTGTGAGGAGGTTAAAGTTTCTTTCCTTTTCAGCTAGCTCAAACTTTTCATCAGCTGATCAAAGGAGCTGCTTACTGTGTCTGATCTTATATTTGAGATCTTTCACTTCCAATATAGTTTCTTCAACCTTTCTTTGTCACTTTTCTGTGGCTTCTCCACTTCTCTAAGTATGTACTACACCTTTGTCTTGTGTATCCAACAATGGTATTTCTGTAGTTATGTATAATTATGACTTTTTTTAGTGTTAAGGGAGATGCTTTGTTGATTTCTGTAACAGCTTCTTTAATTACGGAAGTAATCAAATACGTATTTCCAATAATACTTACCTCCTCTCACACTAAAGCTGTTACTCGACCGCCAGGGTTTCTTCCTTTGCCCAGCTACAATTAGTCAGATTTTTTCTCGCTTGCTACAAGTCTTTTATATCCCACTTAATTGCTCTTGGCAATATTTGTCTCATGACATTATCCACCTATGTCAATACACCATCTATCCTGATACTGTATATAAGCACCTCATTCAGATAATGTTATTACTTTTTCGAGACTGACTCAATCCGCAGTCTCTAACACTAGCTCTTAGTGGAGAGTGTCAGGGGAGGTAGGTTGGGAATACATTTTCAATTTAAGAAAATGTTAACTTCCAAAACATACCTCTTCTCATACAATAGCTAGAATCCCACATTGAGAAGGTGGAGGGGCCGATTCTAGTGGGGGAAATCGCACTACATCCAAACCAGGTATGCTCTTCATCTGGAACTTAATTCATGTGTTGTGGGTGGAATTTTACATGAGTTATCATCACTATTGGCCAGGCTCCAACCAGATAGTATATATATATATATATATATATATATATATATATATATATATATATACTATAGTAGTAGTACGTACCTACCTACGTCGTACTACGTACGTAGTAGTGTAGTCGTCGTACGTACGACCGAACTACTACGAACCACGT